ATCATGTTAACACATGACTTTTGAATAATGACTGTCTAATGATATGAAAAATCTCGCAACAAACTTCGTGCCTGTGTACGTGTGTACGTGTCAAATGAATCTAACTAGCATTAACAATGCATTGTTTTGGAAATAATCTCTATTGACAGTTGAAAAAATGTATCATTAAATTAAGTTTTGATTGACGATTTAACCACGCCTATACAATACAGTTTACTTGCTAGTGAGGTTGTGTAAATAAGCTCAATAATAATGATATTTCAAATGTTATGCAGTATTTGAAATATAAAGTACGGAAATAAATTTCATTTTTTTTTTTAAAAAAGCGAATTAATCTGGAAAGTTTCCTTTTTAACATTTCATTCATCATAAAGGATTTGAAGCTAAAAATAACTATCAAACAAGTGATATTCTCTAGCGGCAGTGACTCTTAAAGGAATTTTTTAATGAAAGATAAGAATTGTCTACTTTAATTTATCTGTCATTGCAGTGTAAATACAAATCAGAAATAGATTGAGTTAGTTTTTGTTACAGACAAGGACAGTTTATTAATTACTTGACATAACATGGTGAAGATAAGACATTACTTCTAAAGGATTATGATATGTTTTGAGATAAACCGAAATTTCTCCGATGTCAACTTGAAAAATATGCCAGCTATATTGTGGGTCAACCAACGTGTCTGCAGCACATACTAGTACGCTGTTTTTACACAGCCCGGAAGTTCTCAAGACTACCTTTATTCATTCATCATCCCCTCCGCTCAAGGGTACATACATGTTGCCTAGTTGATCCCTTTGTCAACTTGAAGAAAATGCCAACTATACTTCAAGTATTACTTACTTCCTCACTTATTTACTTACTTACTTACTTACTTATGCACTTACTTACTTATGCACTTACTTACTTACTTATGCACTTACTTACTTATTTACTTACTTACTTACTTACTTACTTACTTACTTACTTATTATTAAAGGAAGCTAAATCTGACTTTCGTACAAGGAGGCAGTACGTCTTATTTTTATCTCTATCCTAATCCTAATATTTCATGAGTATTTTCAAGTTCGAATTATTTTATATTCTAAATAGTTTTCTTTATACTTTCATTTAACGTGTAAAGCACTCCATTCTACAAGAATACAACTTGATAAACAGTCAGTCGTATTATTAAAAAAACTGTCCGTGTTTTAATTTTCAGTAAATGCCTTCTAATAGTGACGATTTCAATCTCTTTAATGTAAATAGTGTTTTATCATATATCCAGTTTATATGATACTAATTTGTATTAAGTCAAAAGGTACTTAATTCATTGTATTGTTAAGTTAGTTGTTAGTAACTGTATTCAGTTTTTTTAATAAATACAAACTTACTTACTTACTTACTTACGCCGTTTACCACTAATGGAGCATAGTCCGCCAACCTACTTTGTCCTGAGCCTTTCTTCACACTTCTATCCAATCGCTGTTCATTCTTTTCATGTCTGCTTCCAATTTTCGATGTAATGTATTCCTGGGTCTTTAATATTTCCTTTGGACTTGAGGATTTCACGTACGTAAATTAATGGTTGCTCCGGTTGTCAGAAAGGCCATCGGCCTCGTGATTTCTGAATAAAACTGGTTTTCATCATCAGATATGATAACTCTTCTAAATGAAAATCTTATAACTCCTAGTGCAGAGTTTGAATGATATTTTCTGGTTGCTGCCTTTTTAGTGAGTTAGTTTTTCATGGGATGAGGTGGCCAACCCCATGCCCCACCCCTCTCCTTTATCCGGGCTTGGGACCGGCAGTAACCCCTGAAGAGTTCCGAGTGGAATTATACTGACATACGCATAGAAAAATCCAAATAGCTCATATATTTAAAAAGTTAAATTAAGTATGTTTGACAGTGTTACTGAATTAGATGACGTATGATTTTGTAGCAGTTCCATAATGGAAAGTATTTTAACTGTTTACCACTTGTATAAGCTGAACTTCAGTATATGTAAGAATTGGTCTACACAAGGATTGATATACAACACAGAAATTATTGATTAAATATTTATATACCAATGATGAAATAGGATCACTGAAAACCCATTTAAACACAGATTATTTAAAACTTACTGATCAACCGCCGATACAGATATGGATCGGTAAAGCAAAAGTAGTGTTTAAATAGTGGAAGAACATCTGGCACTCAAAATAACTTTTGGCTAACACCGAACTTTGAATTTTCGTTAAAGTCGTCAAAGCAGTTCTGTTGTATGGAACAGAAACTTGAAGAACCATGAAAGCCATCATCCAGAGGATACAGGTGTTTATTAACGGTGGTGTATGCAAGATACTCCGGATCCGTTGACTAGACATTGTCATTAACAACTTATTGTGTGAGAGAACAAACCAGATTTCAGCTGAGGAGGAAACCTGGAGAAAGTGCTGTAGGTGGATAGGACTTCATCACGACGCAAGCCCCCACATGAAATCCCCAAGGTCAAAGCAGAAAAGGTAGACCGAAGAATTGGAGATGGAAATGAGAAGAATGAATAGGAATCGGAAACAAGTAGAAAGGAGAGTAGAAGACAATATTGGTTCGAAAATGCTGGTCGGCGGCCAAGGGGTAACAGATGTAAGCAAGTAATCATGTATCAAAACTTTGTTAACATTTTTTCAAAAATAAAGAATCAAATAAATCGCATCCATCGATTCATTTTGCAGTGATTAACTGGGTTTTTAACAGACGTAATCAGTATTTTGTAACAAGCCTGAATTATTCAAATACTTTTTTAATAGAATAGTGAGAAAACGTAATTGATCTGAAAAAATGTGAGGTATTTGTGCTATACATTACGAACAATCACACTTATACTTGTCAAGGCAGGTTTTATAAAAGATCAATTAAATATAAGTTCAGGTAGACATAAGGTAACAGTTGTAAATGAAGGAGAGAGAGAAAATTAACGTTGGATGCCGGCCCAGTTGTCCGACGGTTAGGCGTTCGCGCACAATACCGAAGGTCCTGGGTTCGAATCCTGTGAGGAGCAGGAGTCGTGATGCGCACTGCTGATGAGTCCCATACCAGGACGAAACGGCTGTCCAGTGCTTCCAGGTTTCTGATGGTGATCTTACAATGATTGATTGGTGATTTCAAATGTGAAAAGAACAAAATATGAAAAGAAAAAAAAAGGTAGGATATTGTCACATTACCCTAGGCTATACAATTGGTTAAAGATTACCAGGGTAAATTCAATGCTATAATAATTTGTTTCTATACAGATAAGCAAGGTTTTTATTTACGAATAGCTAAGGCTTCCATCAACCTCAAAATTCGTCCTTCAACATTTCTATACAATGTTTTGAAGGCTCACTAGATGTCAATCTTATGCTCTGCCTCAATTTCGCGTTTTGCAACCGATGAACACGATTTCTTCTTTCCCACGTTTATCGGGTCCTCTGAAGTTAACTGATCTTGAAGCCACTTAGGTATATGTTTCATAACCCTTGATTGCAAAGTCCGACTACTCCTCCACACAAATTTTTTCAGATCAATTACATCTTCTCACTGTTCTATCAAAATTTATAAAAGGGACTATGATTTCAGTTTTATTTAATTTTTCGCTATGAACCATTTATATTAACATTCAAAGCATATTTAATTAGTTAAAAAAAAACTTACAACAATTCTATTCAATTCAAACACTGACTTTGTATGCAACATTAATTAAACATTCGAAATCATGAATTGATCAATGTTAGATCACCATTTGGAACCTTGAAGCACTCGACAGCCCTTTTCTTCCTGGTATGAGACTCACCAATAGTTCGCATCCACGACTCCTGCACTTCGCAGGATTCGCGCAAACACCGAACCCCTGGACCACTAAGCCGGTAGGTATCTAACGGTGTTAATGTCCAACGAAGTTGCGCAACTTCATACACTGTCTTCAGTGGTGACTGTCTACACATGCTGAATTCTGCTAAATGTACAACAATAATTCACTAATCTCTATTTCTATTGTTAGTAAAGTTGAAAACAATCAATACTTGAACATGTGATGATAATATGTTCAATAAGCTTACAACTAATTACCTATCGTACTACACAACATGATCATATATGTATGCATTCATACATAATATTATAACCTTAAACAAATGCGAAAATGATCATTGCGCTCATTGATCTCTCCTCTGTCTTAATCTAAACGTGCGTTTTCTTTTCTCTCGCTCTGTAAGATATTCATTCAATCGACAAAATATGATGGAAGCGAAAAAACACACACACACACAAAACATTTTTCTCTTGTTTTTCACTTTTAACAAAAAATGTTACTATGTTCATAAAGAAAGAACAAATTAAAGACTTTTTTTTCGAATAAATAATAATAATAATAATAATCATAATCAAAACAAAGAGATTTAAAAATTCCTTCTTTCTTTTTCATCAAATTTATTTACGTGTGTTGTAGAAAATTATGTTTGTCAAGTAAATTGATGTAACAAATTTATTTTGTGCATAGTCAATTCAATGTTAAGTAATCATGCTGCATAATAATAATACTAACAAGATGATGTGTGTTTTTTTGACTGAATGAGGGGCATATAAAAAAATAATACACGCACACGCACACACACAGTTGAAATGCTACTACACTACTACTGTAGTGAAGGAGAACACAGGTGAGGGCAACCGAATTGTATTTAACGAAAATTACAGAGTTACTCAGTAAAATTGGAAAACCATATCGTAAATTGTTAATTTGCAAAATAACAGTTCATCATATCGAACTGGACTGACTGTTCCTGTTGCAAAACATCAATCCATCGTCACTCACTATTCATGTGTTTCATACAAAGTCTATTGTGTTTTCTAACTCTTCCTTTCTTGATCTTCTCCCATCTTCTTCTGCTGCCAGACATTATGTTGACACTCACGTCATATACTACTTATAAGTAGCTCGCACCACACTACTACCACTACTACTACTACTACTCTACTATGTACATATAAATTTGTTGATTATGTATAAATTTTCTTTTTTCTCAAAAATACAATCTGTTTAAATGCTTTCGCATATTCTTTATTATAAAATCCATAAATAAATGGATTAAATATACTATTTAAATAACCTAACCATGTGACAAAAGCGTATAATTCTTCTGAAAATGTACAATCACAAAATGCTTCACCAATGTAAAATACAAAAAATGGTGTCCAACATACAGTGAAACAACCAATCACTATGCTTACAATACGTACAGTTTTTTGTTCTTTTTTAAATAGTATCTTTTCACGTATTCGACGTCGTGTTCTATTGTATTTTTGATGTTTTATTTGATAAGCGAATTTATCATTCACTTGATGATGATTACATAAGAATACTGCTGATGATGATGATGCAGAGAAGGATTTAATGTTGTGTTTCTGTTTTGAAAATTGATGATCATTTGATTGTATTTTTATAAATTTCGTCATAAATTCACTGAAATTTATAGTTTTATTAAATTTACGCGGTTCACTGAAGTCATTTTCTGTCAGAGGTACTTGAAATACACGTAAAATTTGTAATTTTGAATCAACTGGTTCAGGTTCATGAAATTCAAATTCACTAGAAACACTACTAATCTCATCAAAATATAACATTTTATTGCCATCATTATTTTCAGTGTAATAATTGGAACAGCTATACGCATAAGACAGCGCATCAGTTGTATGATAATCATTACTATCTGTATTTGTATTGAAACCATAGGAAGATAAATTATTTTCTGATAATTTACTACTTTGTTGTCGAAATTTTCTTGATAAAAATCGATCAAAACCTTTCTTCCAATGAAGAGATGATTTCTCTGTTAAATTCGACAAATTCATTCGATCAGTTGGTTTTTGTGCACTATCCTCTTCTAGTTGTTTGAATACTTTAGAACGTCCTTGAATTATATAAAATATACGTATATGTGTATAGCCAATTAAACTAATCGGTAGAAAATACGCCAGTACTGATGAATAAATTCGAAATTCTTTACTATATGTGATATAACAACAACCAATTCCAGTCACATGTTTATCTATACCGAATAATGGTGGTAATATTGTAAAACTTGGTATAATCCATGCCAGCGTTATCATTAACAATGATAATTGACGTGTTTGTTCTGTGATATATTTCAATGGATATCTAATAGCAATATAACGATCAATTGATATACAACATAAATTCAATATGGATGCCATACACATGAATATATCTGAGGATAAATAAAATTCACATAGAAATGCTGATTCAAATGGCCAATAACCAAGATTTTGACGTACAATAGCAAAAGGTAATACAAAAATCGATACCAACAAATCAGCCACTGCCAATGAAGCAATATATTGATCAGAGATGCGTTTAAGTCGATTTGAAGTAGCTACAGAGAGAATAACTAATAAATTACCAAAGAATATAATTACTGTAGCTAATATTAAACAACTTGTTATAAGATTAGTTGTAATATCTGGATTTGTGATATTTGAAATAAATGAACAATTAGTAATGTTGTTATATTCAATTGGAAATAGTTGAATATCATCGGGAGTATTGTTGATTGAATTCATTTTTTTTTTAAATTATCCCTTTTGTTTCATGCATATTGCTAATTTTAAAATATTTTGCCTTCGCGTACAATGTTCAAGTTTTTTATCATTTAAACAAATATACTTTCAATGAATTATCTACATCCATATTAGCGTAATCAACATTTACACTCATTTAAATCTGTCGTTAAAATTGTTACGATTGGTTATTTTTCTTATATATATAAGACAATTCGAAAAAACAAACTATAAGCTCTATTACTAAACATGCTTTTTTTTTAGTTTCATTTAGAAGGAATTTAAATGTTCATATAACTAGTGCTTTAGAAAAACAAGTGTGCACTCAAACATAGTGAGCACATATTTCATTATAATACTTGAACCAATCAGTTTACGTTTAAAATATTTATTTTCATGTCTTCATAATTTATTATTATTATTACTGTTATTATTATTATTATTAGGATTAATTTAGTTAATTTAGTAATATTCATTTCCAAAGATTTTACAACTATCAACAAGATTTTGCAATAAGATGTTGGAATTTTGTATTTTTCTCTATCCCTTCTTAGCATTTAGATTATTTGATTGGTTATGTGATTGTTTTCGAATGTAAACTATTTATCCAATAAGGTTATTGACATGGTGGAGAAAATTTGTAGCTCAGGTGAAATGATTCCAGTGGAGCTTCGTTCTGTGAATTGGATAGTTTGTTTGTGTTGTTCTCAATGTTCTACTTGAAGACAACATCATCAGCAAAAAAACTTCAGATAGAAATGAAGTGTTCAAATTTCTTCACTTGTGGCTCATAGCTTGTCCTGTTGATCAATCAAGATCGAATAGTTCACTGCTATCTGAAGTTTGTGCTGATGATGTTGTCTTTAGTAGAAGGATGAAAGCAACACAACCAATAAATCCAGCTCATGAGAATGGAACCACACTATAATAAGGTTATCCTTGTTCTGGTAGTTAAAATCTAAAAAAAATTGACTAAACGCAATCAAAAAATCCACCTGTAGACCCTTAGGGGCTGCAGAAATGAAAAGATACAACCTTGAGGTGCTCGGCATCAGTGAAACGCATTGGACACAGGTAGGACAACTGAGACTAGCTTCAGTCGAACAGCTGTTATACTCTGGTCATGAAGAGGAAAACGCTTCACATACACAAACAGTTGCACTGATGCTGTCCAAACATGCACAAAAGGCACTGATAGGATGGGAATCTCATGGACCGAGGATCATTAAAGCATCCTTCAAAACAAAGAAACAGGACATTACAATGAACGTCATCCAATTCTGTGCACCTACCAATGACTACAATGACGACGTTAAAGATCAATTCTACGAAAGGTTGCAGTCAATCGTCGACAGATGCTCACCAAAGGATTTCACCATTCCAATGAGAGACCTAAATGCCAAGTTTGTCATGGACAACGCCGGATAGGAAGACATCATGGGACGACATGGACTGGGAGAAAGGAACGAAAACGGTGAGAGATTTGCAAACCTATGTGCCTTAAACAAACTAGTCATCGGTGGCGCAATATTCCCACACAAACGCATTCACAAAGCCACATAGATTTCTCCGGACCACACTACTCAAAACCAAATTGACCATATCTGTATCAACAAAAAGTTCAGAAGGTGTTGGGATAGCCAATCGAGAAGAAAGCCACGCACATTATGGATTGATGAACTATTTGATTAATGTTCATGATGAACTATTTGATTAATGTTCATGATAAACTATTTGATTAATGATGAACTATATGAATAATGTTCGTGATGAATTATTTGATTAATGTTCAAAATATTTAAACGACATTTATGTAATTATATAAATACGCATGTTTGATTGTATATCTTTTGATTCTGATAATAAGTGTTCTCCAACGTCTTCCGTCTTCTTATTTTTGAACGGAGGGGTCTAACGTTCGGTGAGTCATTAGTACAGTGGTTTGGCGTTACATCAAGTACAAAACATAAAAGAAGGAACATTGAGGATGTGAGGATCAAGAGAGGAGCGGATATTGCATCAGATCACCACTTGCTGGTCGCCAACATGAAACTAAAACTCAAGAAACACTGGAATTCGGGGAGGACAAAATCATGCAAGTTTAATACAGCCCTTCCTCGGGATACCGTAAAACTCAACGAATTCAATATAGCCCTCACCAATAAGTTCCATGCCTTTCAGGATCTACTCAATGGAGAGGAAGCAACATTGGAGAACGATTGGAAAGGGATCAAGGTGGCAATCACTTCAACATGTCATGAAGTTCTGGGTCACAAGAAGTACCTTCAAAAGGATTGGATGTCTGTTGGTACTCTTGCAAAAGTTGAAGAAAGGAGGAACAAGAAGGCAGCAATCAATGTCAGCCGAACAAGATCAGAGGAAGTTGAGGCACAAGCTGCATATACAGAAGCAAACAGGGAAGTGAAGAAGAGCATCAGAGCTGACTAACAAAAATATGTGGAAGATCTAGCAATGACGGCGGAAAAGGCTGCAAGAGAAGGAAACTTGAGACAATTGTTCGAAACAACAAAGAAGCTCACTGGAAACTATCGTAAACTAGAACGAACAGTGAAAAGCAAGGAAGGCAAAGTAATCAGCAACACTGAACAACAGCGAAATAGGTGGGTAGAGCACTTTCAGGAACTCCTGAATTGACCAGCTCCACTGAACACATCCAACATCGAAGCAGCATCCACGGACCTCCCAATCAATATTGGCGCATCTACGATTGAGGATGTCAGTATGGCCGTCAGATAAATCAAGAGCGGTAAATTAGTAGGACCAGACAACATTCCAGCAGAGGCAACGAAAGCAGATGTGGAAGCAACTGCCAAAATACTTCACATTCTCTTCAACAAGATTTGGGATGGGGAACAAGTACCATAAGATTGGAAAGAAGGATACCTGATCAAAATACCAAAGAAAGGCGATCTCAGCAAGTGTGAGAACTACAGAGGCATCACTCTTCTTTCAATACCAGGCAAAGTCTTCAACAGGGTATTGTTAAACAGAATGAAGGACTTCGTAGAAGCTCAACTTCGAAATCAACAGACTGGATATCGTAAGGATCGATCGTGTACTGACCAAATTGCAAATTTACGTATCATTGTAGAACAATAAATTGAATGGAACTCACCACTCTACATCAACTTCATCGACTACGAGAAAGCATTTGACAGCGTGGATAAGAAAACACTGTGGAGGCTTCTCCGACGCTACGGCGTGCCTGAGAAGTTTGTTAACATCATACGGAATTCTTATGATGGTTTCAACTGCAAAATCGTACACGAAGGACAGCTAACAGACTCGTTCGAGTTAAAGACCGCTGTCAGGCAAGGTTGCTTACTCTCATCCTTTCTCTTTCTCCTGGTGACCGACTGGATTATGAAGACGTCAGCATCTGGAGGGAAGCACGATCCCCTATGGACAGCTAGGATGCAGGTGGACGATCTGGACTTCGCAGATGACCTGGCTCTTCTATCGCACACGCAACAACAAATGCAAGAGAAGACGATCAGTTTTGCAGCAGCAGGTCTCAACATACATATAGGAAAAAGCGAAATTCTCCGATGCAACACAACATGCACCAACCAAATCACTCTTGATGGAGATGCCTTGGAGGACATTAACACCTTTACATGTCTTGGCAGCACCATCGACGAGAAAGGTGGATCCGATGCTGATGTGATGGCGTGGATCGGCAAAGCAAGTGCTGCATTTCTACAACTGAAAAATATCTGGAACTCCAAACAACTTTCGATCAAAACCAAAATCATGATTTTCAATACAAATGTCAAGACAGTTCTAATGTATGGAGCGGAAACTTGCAGAACTAATAAAGCCATCATCCAGAAGATACAAGTATTCATTAATAGTTGTCTACGCAAAATACTTCAGATCTTTCGGCCAGACACTATCAGTAACAGCCTACTGTGGGGAAGAACAGACCAGATTCTAGCAGAGGATGAAATCGGGAAGACGCCATGAAATTGGATAGGACATACTACAGAAAGCACCTAACTGTGACACACGACAAGCCCTCACTTGGAACCCTCAAGTCAAAAGGAAAAGAGGAAGTCCAAGGAACACATTACGCCGAGAAATAGAGAAATATATAAGAAGAATGAGCAGAAATTTGACAGAATTGGAAAGGAAAGCCCAAGACATAGTAGACTGGAGAACACTGATCGGCGGCCCATGGTCCATTGGGGGTGACAGGCGTAAACAAGTCAGTAATAGCAGAGAACTTGGGAACGTAATATTCACTACGCTTAAATGCGATTTGATAAAGGTGATATCCATTTTATCTAAAATGATGCCTTTTTTCAAAATTACTGCAAAATAATATATTCAGATTATTTTACATCTGACTTCCTTTAATGTTATTTATTTGAGATTTATTTACATAAAACCCGTTGAAAGAATTGTGTTAATTTGTCTTGAAAATTTTCCTATTGATAATCATAGATGTTGTTTGCTTTTTTTGATTTCTTGAAATGGCTTTACGATTTAATTCTAATTCATTTGATTATTTTTTATTGAACATAAACAGAAAAGAGATTTCTTCAACTGTTTTCTAAAAAATGATATTGATACTGTAATATGTATGCATATATTTCCTATTAGGAATAATGTTGACTTTTGTGTATTGAGTTATTGTTCTATATGACTTGACTTCTTATGTATTTTAGTTTACATTTCTTTGTTTACTCTGATAACTAAGACACCGGAAGATATTTTAGTGAATTTTCATTCTCAGAGCTGACTAGTTTGGTTGTAGAACTTTCATTGTTTTACTTCTGAACAACATCATCATCAGCACAAACTTCAGTTAGCAGTGAAGTGTTCGAATTTCTTCACGTATAACTGGTAGCTTCTCCTGTTAACCTCGATCTTGATTGATTGTTATTGACTGTTAACCTGTCGTTGTCTGCTTCGTTATTTTGATTGTGTCCCCTTTTGATTTGGTTCTTGATCCAATGGTTACATATGATTATTTTTGA